ATTAAAGAAAGTTTGTGTAAATAATTTCACCATGAACTACTTGGGAAAAATCGTACTTTCTACTTAAAAGAAACTGAAAGTAAATTGTGGCAGTGGGCGGAGTAGCCTGGCCCTTGCCTTCTTACGCAGTTCTGCTCAATTCTAGTTTCCCTTCTATGCTCCGTCTGGGACTTCTTCCATAGACAAGGATTTCTCTGGCAGATTTTTAGTCGGGCCAATCAGAGAAGAGAACATAAATTTTCTGCGCAGTGTTTCTTGTAGTTTATTTTATCTGGGCCAATCAGCAAACAGAAGGAGGAGTTTTGAACGATGACGATTTTCTGCACAGTGTCTGCTAGTTATTTTAGCATACGGCAGTGGAGGAAGTGAATGAAGCCAGTCCGTGTTGATAAGGCTTCCCAAATGAAATTAAATTTGTCTGACAAAGCAGCAGCTCTCATTTACAGTCGTCTTGTTCGGCTCGGTATATTTCTCCTCTCAGTAAGGCTGTTTACAGCGCTCGAGCTTTCTGGTTAGCTTCTTAGCTTAGCCTCCTTCACAGCGACAACACACATATGCTTCAGAAGAGGCCACACCTCCTGCAAGAATCACTTCTTTATGCATCAAGTCCAGACCCTTGTATGAAGCAAAGTGAAGGACAGGGTCTGGTTTTGACCAGGCTAGGGGCGGAGTTAACGTAAACAAAAGCAAAGCAGCACATTCGGAAATGAGCTAAGGAACAGGCAGAACTTAAAAGGTGAAATTTCATTATCTGAGATTAATTTTGTGAATTAAATCAAATGAAATTGTTTTGTATAGCCCACAGATGGATCCTAACTTGTTGTAGGAACCCCATATTAGGTCACCTTTAAATGCCCTCTCATTTAAGCATGAACAATATACTATATAAAGGGCTAGTGGTGTTGTGGTGGTGTGTGGGCAATGAGTTTTTTAAAACCATGTCCCCAAATTCAATACTGCTTAGAATCCTATGCAACCTAGAGACAGCTCAGTATGTATGTGAACAGTGACATGTTAATTACTGTATATCAGACTGACAAACAAAAGACAAAAAGAAAAGTCAGCACAGATGTGTCAGAATAAAGAGCTCGACACACGGGGAGCGACAAACTACAGCGATTAACGGCTGTCATCGCAGCCAGGGTGAAACCCGACACACGAGACGCGATAGCGATCGCAGCGTTGCGAATCGCGCTCTCAGGTCGCTTGTCTTCACAAAATTTGATTGGTTCTTGACTCTGAAGGCGGGTGTGCATTACGAACGTGTAAAATGAACAAATCTTGCGATGCTAATGATATTGAAAAACAAACACACATTAAGATACAGTTTTAGGAAAAACTTACCATGAACTTCACCCCGCTGCCAATAAATTCCCACAAAGCTTTTTAG